GGGATTGCCCCCACCCACGTGCACAGGCTCTGCTGAAGACACGTGTGTGTGCAGAAGCTGTCAGTGTCTTCTCTCCCACCTGTTGCTGAGCCATGTAGACCCTCAGCTTCTGCTGGCACATCACAGCAGGCCCCATCCTGCCTCCGAGCATTATCCAAAGCCACAGACTCCTCCCTCTCCCCAAACTGCAGCCAGGTGAACAGGCCCCGTGGGCAGCGGAGACACCGAAGGCTGGAAGGGCTCTGGACACGCTCCCTCACCACCCCCAGCCCCGTCCACCCTCCGTCACCTGCAGCATGAAGAGGGGTCCACTTCCTCTTCCTCTCCTTCACCAGAGCGGACGCACCGTGGCTGGTGAGCACTTCCACGCACTCCGTGGAACCTCTCTCCGTGGCGAGGTACAGTGCCGTCCGTCCCTTGTGGTCCCGCACGTCGAGGTTCACGAGGGTTTCGGCAAGTGTCTTTAGGGCTTCACAGTGACCATTATAGGCCTGAGGACAAAGTGGACCCCCTTAAAGCAGTGCCTGGAGGGGCTGCACCCAGAAGACCCCCCCACACCGGGACAATCCCTGCCCCCTGGGTCCCTCCAGCCTGGTGGGATCCTGCCCGGCCATCGCCTCTCGTTTGCAGGGTCCCACAGGATGCCCACTCCCACCCCTGCCCTCAGGGAGGTGGCTCCAAACAGCATTGACCAGAAATCCCTGGAAAGAGCAGGGAAGATCATACAGATCAAAGGGACTTTGACCGAGGGCGCTCAGCACCGACAGCTGCCGGGATCCGGCCCGCATCCCATGGGAACGGGCAGCTCTCCAGCACCCAGCGTGAGCCCCGTGCGGAGCCAAGTGCCCTCCGCAACCCCGGGATCGGGCCAGCCGTACTCACAGCTAAGTGCAAAGGGCTGACTGGAATGGTGCTTTCCACATCCTCCAGGCAGTTAAAAGACATTTCCAGGAGCTGCAAAAGCAACAACATAAAACTGTAACTGCTCCCGGGCTCACGGAGGCTTGGACAGACGCCCCGTCCGACGGCGGGATGCAGAGGGTCAGAGAAACCGCTCATCTGCCTCAGGATGATCTGAATTTCAGGACGAGGCCTTCCTTGGGCCTTGCCTAGGCAGTAGTATCAAGTCCCTGTTATCCCAAAGCCTCTCTGATATCCCGAAGCCCCCCTGCTACTTGCACAACCCCCTACCCCCCGGCAGCCGCAAGCTCGCCCTGAACAACACAACCATCACAGGCACGAGGCGTTTTCCACACCGGAAGAGCTATTCCTCGGCACAGGCCTCCAAGGCTTTCTTCTACAAGCCCAACCTTGCTCTGCTGCCAGGGGTTGAACACGACATCCTCGTGTCCCCCCGTGCCGGGTGACAAAGCTCCTTTCCCTCAGGCCCACGTCCTCCCGGCACAACGGCTTCTCACGCTTTTTCATCCAATCCATCTCCCTTCCTCCTGGACAAACCCTGATGCCGACCCTCCCCACAGTCCTTCAGCTACACCCGGACACCACAGGGCTGGACGTGATCCCGAGGGAGGGATTCCCCCTCCGCCGGGGGGTTCTCACCAGTTCGAGGTTCTGCCTGTTGCCGTACGCAGCTGCATAGTGGACAGCGGTGTATCCCTGCTTGTCCCGGAGGGATGGGTCAGCACCATTATCCAGCAGGAACTCTAGACAGCTGCGAGGAGCAGGAGAAAGGGGAGATGAGGGGGAGGAAAAAGGGGAGATGGGG